AGGCAACGTCACTCACTCACTCACTTTATTCTACAGGCCAGAGTGATATAGACAGATACAGTACCAACACTAGGCAACGTCACTCACTCACTCACTTATTCTACAGGCCAGAGTGATATAGACAGATACAGTACCAACACTAGGCAACGTCACTCACTCACTCACTTATTCTACAGGCCAGAGTGATATAGACAGATACAGTACCAACACTAGGCAACGTCACTCACTCACTCACTTATTCTACAGGCCAGAGTGATATAGACAGATACAGTACCAACACTAGGCAACGTCACTCACTCACTCACTTATTCTACAGGCCAGAGTGATATAGACAGATACAGTACCAACACTAGGCAACGTCACTCACTCACTCACTTATTCTACAGGCCAGAGTGATATAGACAGATACAGTACCAACACTAGGCAACGTCACTCACTCACTCACTTATTCTACAGGCCAGAGTGATATAGACAGATACAGTACCAACACTAGGCAACGTCACTCACTCACTCACTTATTCTACAGGCCAGAGTGATATAGACAGATACAGTACCAACACTAGGCAACGTCACTCACTCACTCACTTATTCTACAGGCCAGAGTGATATAGACAGATACAGTACCAACACTAGGCAACGTCACTCACTCACTCACTTATTCTACAGGCCAGAGTGATATAGACAGATACAGTACCAACACTAGGCAACGTCACTCACTCACTTACTTATTCTACAGGCCAGAGTGATATAGACAGATACAGTACCAACACTAGGCAACGTCACTCACTCACTCACTTATTCTACAGGCCAGAGTGATATAGACAGATACAGTACCAACACTAGGCAACGTCACTCACTCACATACTTATTCTACAGGCCAGAGTGATATAGACAGATACAGTACCAACACTAGGCAACGTCACTCACTCACTCACTTATTCTACAGGCCAGAGTGATATAGACAGATACAGTACCAACACTAGGCAACGTCACTCACTCACTCACTTATTCTACAGGCCAGAGTGATATAGACAGATACAGTACCAACACTAGGCAACGTCACTCACTCACTCACTTATTCTACAGGCCAGAGTGATATAGACAGATACAGTACCAACACTAGGCAACGTCACTCACTCACTCACTCACTTATTCTACAGGCCAGAGTGATATAGACAGATACAGTACCAACACTAGGCAACGTCACTCACTCACTCACTTATTCTACAGGCCAGAGTGATATAGACAGATACAGTACCAACACTAGGCAACGTCACTCACTCACTCACTTATTCTACAGGCCAGAGTGATATAGACAGATACAGTACCAACACTAGGCAACGTCACTCACTCACTCACTTATTCTACAGGCCAGAGTGATATAGACAGATACAGTACCAACACTAGGCAACGTCACTCACTCACTCACTTATTCTACAGGCCAGAGTGATATAGACAGATACAGTACCAACACTAGGCAACGTCACTCACTCACTCACTTATTCTACAGGCCAGAGTGATATAGACAGATACAGTACCAACACTAGGCAACGTCACTCACTCACTCACTTATTCTACAGGCCAGAGTGATATAGACAGATACAGTACCAACACTAGGCAACGTCACTCACTCACTCACTTATTTATTCTACAGGCCAGAGTGATATAGACAGATACAGTACCAACACTAGGCAACGTCACTCACTCACTCACTTATTCTACAGGCCAGAGTGATATAGACAGATACAGTACCAACACTAGGCAACGTCACTCACTCACTTACTTATTCTACAGGCCAGAGTGATATAGACAGATACAGTACCAACACTAGGCAACGTCACTCACTCACTCACTTATTCTACAGGCCAGAGTGATATAGACAGATACAGTACCAACACTAGGCAACGTCACTCACTCACTTACTTATTCTACAGGCCAGAGTGATATAGACAGATACAGTACCAACACTAGGCAACGTCACTCACTCACTCACTTATTCTACAGGCCAGAGTGATATAGACAGATACAGTACCAACACTAGGCAACGTCACTCACTCACTCACTTATTCTACAGGCCAGAGTGATATAGACAGATACAGTACCAACACTAGGCAACGTCACTCACTCACTCACTTATTCTACAGGCCAGAGTGATATAGACAGATACAGTACCAACACTAGGCAACGTCACTCACTCACTCACTTATTCTACAGGCCAGAGTGATATAGACAGATACAGTACCAACACTAGGCAACGTCACTCACTCACTCACTTATTCTACAGGCCAGAGTGATATAGACAGATACAGTACCAACACTAGGCAACGTCACTCACTCACTCACTTATTCTACAGGCCAGAGTGATATAGACAGATACAGTACCAACACTAGGCAACGTCACTCACTCACTCACTTATTCTACAGGCCAGAGTGATATAGACAGATACAGTACCAACACTAGGCAACGTCACTCACTCACTCACTTATTCTACAGGCCAGAGTGATATAGACAGATACAGTACCAACACTAGGCAACGTCACTCACTCACTCACTTATTCTACAGGCCAGAGTGATATAGACAGATACAGTACCAACACTAGGCAACGTCACTCACTCACTCACTTATTCTACAGGCCAGAGTGATATAGACAGATACAGTACCAACACTAGGCAACGTCACTCACTCACTCACTTATTCTACAGGCCAGGTGATATAGACAGATACAGTACCAACACTAGGCAACGTCACTCACTCACTTACTTATTCTACAGGCCAGAGTGATATAGACAGATACAGTACCAACACTAGGCAACGTCACTCACTCACTCACTTATTCTACAGGCCAGAGTGATATAGACAGATACAGTACCAACACTAGGCAACGTCACTCACTCACTCACTTATTCTACAGGCCAGAGTGATATAGACAGATACAGTACCAACACTAGGCAACGTCACTCACTCACTCACTTATTCTACAGGCCAGAGTGATATAGACAGATACAGTACCAACACTAGGCAACGTCACTCACTCACTCACTTATTCTACAGGCCAGAGTGATATAGACAGATACAGTACCAACACTAGGCAACGTCACTCACTCACTCACTTATTCTACAGGCCAGAGTGATATAGACAGATACAGTACCAACACTAGGCAACGTCACTCACTCACTCACTTATTCTACAGGCCAGAGTGATATAGACAGATACAGTACCAACACTAGGCAACGTCACTCACTCACTCACTCACTTATTCTACAGGTCAGAGTGATATAGACAGATACAGTACCAACACTAGGCAACGTCAATCACTCACTCACTTATTCTACAGGCCAGAGTGATATAGACAGATACAGTACCAACACACCATGACACTGCCACTCACTCAGACTAATTATCCAGGTCCCTTGATGTTGACAGGTACATCATCAGCAGATCGTGACAACACCATTAAGTCGCTCACTCAAGACAATAGTGATCAGACGAATACACTAGTGTCTGTTGGAAATATACTCTCCCAAAATAGAAACGCACCATGAAAATAGCAATTTTATGTAGCAATGAATTAAAACGTGATTCATTTTACAAAAGGTTTTTGCTCCGTTTATGAGTTGAGTAACATCAAAACGCACCATCCGTAAAATAACCGTATTTAACAGCATGATTTTCAGAATACACAATTCACATGCAGAGCCCGTGAAAGTTGGGGATCAGATAGTCTCAATGATTGGTATAAAAGGTATTTGGAATATTGTTGACGAACGCAAAATGCCACGTCTAAGTGAAGCCAACCGTCATAGCGCCATTGGTTTGCTTGAAGCTGGCCAGTCTCAACGTGCAGTTGCCCGACGCATGAATGTTCACCAAAGCACCATTTCACGGCTCTGGGAGAGATATCGCCTGCAGAATGCGGTAGCAGATGCCCCTCGTAGTGGGCGACCTCGGGCGACCATTGCGGCGCAGGATCGCTACATCCGGGTACGTCACCTGCGTCATCGAACAGCTACGGCGACCATAACCGCTCGACAAATACCCGGATTGAGGAGGCTTTCTGCACAGACCGTCAGGAACAGGTTGAGAGAGGCTGGTTTACGTGCCAGAAGACCTTATTTTGGCCCTGTGCTTCGACACCAATATCGTCGAGATCGAGTTCAATGGTGCACCAACGTTCAGCCCTGGAACCTACCGAATTGGCGAAGAATCTGGTTCAGTGATGAATCACGATTTCTAATGGAAAGACGCGATGGAACAATGCAGGTGTACAGACGTCGACATGAACGTTTCGCCGACGCTTGCGTTCCCCAGGTGGACAGATTCGGCCGGGAAAGTGTTATGATGTGGGGAGCGATCACCTGCCGTAGGAGAAGTGATTTGGTAATGATCCAGGGCAACCTGACAGCTCAACGGTACTGTGACGAAATCGTACGCCCACACCTCCTTCCAATCATTGATCGCCAGAGGGAGTTGTTTCAACAGCACAATGCCAGGCCCCACACAGCAAGTCACACTGGAGACTTCCTCCAGAACCACAACATCAATGTGCTCCCCTGGCCCTCAAGATCAACGGACTTAAACCCGATCGAACATCTGTGGGATGCCCTGGACAGACGGGTGCGACGCCGTAAACCTCAGCTCCAGACACTTCAGCAACTCGCACAGGCACTACAGGCAGAGTGGGCTGCGATTGGGCAACACGAGATTCTGAGACTTCTTCGTTCAATGCCGAGGCGATTCCTTGCAGTTCTGGATGCCCACGGTGGTCACACGAGGTACTGACTTCAGCGCCACCACACGTCTCCATGTGACACTCAAACTGACTTTCCTCGAGTTGGTGCCAAAGACGGTTAAGTCTGCATTCCAAGTGTGCAATTTCGCTATATTTCATTGACTCATAAAGCCTACAAGATGTTTCAAAATAAAAATAAAAATACAGTTGAAATTCCTATATGTGTTTCTTTTTTGGGAGAGTATATATACACAAGAAAACGTTATCATAATCTGATGAGCTTTATTCGGAATTCAGAGAAAAGATTTTGTATGTTGAATCCTGGATGTCGTTGTCGCCGAGCGGTCAGGTGTGTTTAGACCGGTCGGACAGGTGTGTTTAGGCCGGACAGACAGGTGTGTTTAGGCGCCGCACAGGTATTTGTCGTCATCACTCAGATCATTGGGGTACATGCAGATGAGCTTGCTCTCAGAGTAGTACAGGTCTTGGTTGCAGCTGAAGTTGTACTGGGTACCAAGGTGGCAGTACGTGAAGGCCGAGCAGTTGTAGGGATCCACACCAGTCACACAGTCTGGAACCAAACACGTATATATGTATAATTAAGCATGACAAGGAGATCACAGTGGCGAAGAAACCATCGTCGATTCAAAATCATTAGGCGAGTTGGTGAATTAGAGACACAAATATTATTAACTGTGATTAATTACTGACTGAAAATTATTTTCAGGGTTGGCGGGAGGTAAAGAAATTGGAAATCTCAAGTATCTTCAGTATTTGTGAAAAAGAGGAGGTGGTGGAGCCCACCAGGAAATCATATCACCGCCATCATCATCTGATTGGCACCACAACAATATGTACATCTGTTACCGTTGTTCTATAGCTTTAACTTTATCGGTGGCTTATATCATTAAGAACATTTACATGATCAGCATTGAATACACGAGGACACTAGTAATCCCAAATATAACACGTGTTACATAATCAGCAATTTGTGAAAATAGCCATGGCTCCCTTGAGTATTCTCACGCAATCCACAAAGAACAAACTCACATTACCGTTTAGGTACGGACTTACATCGACAATTTGAATTGTAAACCAAAAGAAATTCAACAAATGCATTTTCATACAGCCTCTAGTTTCTATAAAATTGTCAGCTAAATATCTAAGGCACCGTTAAACAGTTTCTATTGGTGCACACGTCTTGCATTACAACAACCCTTTGCATGCGCTGCAAAGTTATATAACACATGATATGTTTGGTTACCTGGGTTTGTGTTGAGTGGTTCCTGGCAGAAGACATCCTGTTCGTCTTCACACATCTGAGAGTTTTCGTTGAAGAGTGTCTTCTCAGGGCACTGGAGAGTTCCATGGTAGTCCTGGTTGTAGCAGCTGATGATCTTCTTGCACCCCGACCCAGGGGCCACGTACATCCAGGTACCACCGTAGTTATCCCGACAGAGAACTGCGTCTGAAAGATACAGAAACCATATAACCTAGTACAAAGCGTCAGAAACGTCAGTGCAGAATAGGTAAGGTCGTCGAAATATCTCCCATACTGTCATTTCATTGATTGAGGCAACATCATGGCTGGTAGGTTACATGAAGGTGGTCTCAACATGTGGGGCTGTCTAGATCGAGTCTGGTGTAGTCAACACGTCCCATCAGCTGCTGATGTTTGTAATGGGATTGTATCGTACATTTATTCAGTCAATGACAACACATGTAATATGAAAGTGTATCCAACATTGCGAATTGCAACAATGTCACGGAGGCCTGTGATATATACTTCGTATCCTGAGTGAATATCGCCGGGATATAGACACACATACACACACGCGCCGGCAAACACGTACATACGCATCGCGTCAATGCCACGTTAAGCCCCTCTCAACTCTTGGAAATTTAAATAGACTTCTACTTACACTCTCCTTCTGGCACTTGTGCGCTGGTGATTGCCAGGCATCCCAAAAGCAAGCCAAGAACTGCTGGCCCCATGCTTGCTGCGTCTGTAGTACTGGAGAGTAGAAAGGAAGAGTTGCTGGATTTCCATTTAACAGTAATCAACCCATTTAATATAGTATTTCCCCACCGGTGAACACGCCTTATGCAAATTCTCGATTAAAATGAAGTGTGTCGCCATTTCGAATGGGGCGGGGCTATAACGATCACAGGGAACACTTAAACGAGTGTCAGCTTCCTTCCTTAAGCCTTTGCTTGTTCAATTAGTTTAATTAGTACCGTACTCACGTAATACACCAAGCGAGTTCCCTGTTTGGCGGTAACACATACCATTTGCATAGCATTTCCTAGACGTATAGCGCATTGGTGGGAATTGCATCTTGTACACAAACCTGATTCAACTGTGCAGTGAAGTTTATTCCATGCTATTTCTCAGATAGCTGTGCAACGGTCTTCGTTGAGTTCACATCTATTGACGAAAATATATTAAAGGCTGGTCTAATTACTCAATGTCCGTTTACTGCTGCTTCCGCTCTTCACGAAGACAGTTTCCATTACTGTGTGGTTTAAAGTCATTACAGCTCACATTCTGCACAGCCACATAACAACAAATCGAGATAATTATTGTAATTAACTTTATCAGCGACAGAAATGAGGAGGCATTTGCCTTAAATGGTATGTTTGCCATGTGAGGGTGTTTAAAAAATCCCCGGAAGTTCTGAACATATATACCGGCATTTATCGCGCAACGTGCAGCACAGCGAAACGTGGCATTCGATACCATTTACATTCTGATCCGCCCGTGATGAGCATGTCATGTGCTGCCCATTTACCTTCTGACCCACCCGTGATGAGCATGTCATGTGCTGCCCATTTACCTTCTGACCCACCCGTGATGATGTTATGCATGTCATGTACCTTCTGCTGCCCATTTACCTTCTGACCCACCCGTGATGAGCATGTTATGCGGTTCCCATTTACCATTTGACTCTCCGTGATGAGCATGTCATGTGCTGCCCATTTACCTTCTGACCCACCCGTGATGACCATGTCATGTGCTGCCCATTTACCTTCTGACCCACCCGTGATGAGCATGTTATGCGGTTCTCATTTACCATTTGACTCTCCCGTGATGAGCATGTCATGTGCTGCCCATTTACCTTCTGACCCACCCGTGATGAGCATGTCATGTGCTGCCCATTTTCCTTCTGACCCACCCGTGATGAGCATGTTATGCGGTTCCCATTTACCATTTGACTCTCCTGTGATGAGCATGTCATGTGCTGCCCATTTACCTTCTGACCCACCCGTGATGAGCATGTCATGTGCTGCCCATTTACCTTCTGACCCACCCGTGATGAGCATGTCATGTGCTGCCCATTTACCTTCTGACCCACCCGTGATGAGCATGTCATGTGCTGCCCATTTACCTTCTGACCCACCCGTGATGAGCATGTTATGCGGTTCTGCATTTACCATTTGACTCTCCCGTGATGAGCATGTCATGTGCTGCCCATTTACCTTCTGACCCACCCGTGATGAGCATGTTATGAGGTTCCCATTTACCCTTTGACGCTCCGTGATGAGCATGTCATGTGCTGCCCATTTACCTTCTGACCCACCCGTGATGAGCATGTCATGTGCTGCCCATCATGCATCGCGCGTGGTACGTGCACTTTGTGTACAATGAACTTTCTCACTTTGCAACGTCACCGGCGTGCACGTCTTGCCTGGCGTAGACAGCATCTACGGTACAGGAGACAAGATTGGGATGGTGTTTTGTTCACTGACAGTCGAGATTTCATGTGGACATCTCAGATGGCAGGTCAAAGGTATACAGACGGCGAGGTGAACTCTATGCTGACACGTGCATTGTTCAACGTCGACAGTTTGGTGGCGTTAGCGTTGCACCTCATGTGCAGTCGTTCATTCAAGGACAGAGACGTAACTTCATGCTTCCGCAAGATAATGCACGCCCACGTGTCGCTCGTGTTGTGACAGATTTCCTGAGACAGCAGAACATTCCAGTACTTCCCTGGCCTGCTGTTTCTCCGGACCAGTCCCATATCAAGCACGCTTGGGGTAAAATGGAATGGTTTACGTCAAGCCCAGACGTAAGCTGAATTGTTTCAGACATGGAACAACATTCCCCAAGCTTTCTTTAATCGAGTATGCCTGGTTCACATTTGGCCTGCGATGAGTCTACAGCGTCCGTAAACTGCCCGTCACTCCATTTCCGTGGGGTAGCCGTTCGGCGGCTATACAATCATTACACGATTCTACGGGCGCCGTAGCCCTCAACTATTTTGTCAAACAGCGAAGTTTGACAAATTTGAGTGAGTGAGTATGGTTTTTCCAGCAATATCACGGCGGGGACACCAAGAATGGGATTCACATATTGTAACCATGTGGGGAATGGAATCGGATCTTCGGTGTGACGAGCCAACGCTTTAACCACTCGGCTACACCACTCCCCTGACACATTTGAAAAAATCGTAAACCCGTAGCCCAAAGGTGGCATCGCACGGCCACCGCACGAAGGACACACGGTGATCGTGCGGTAAACGCAAGATTTTCACTTCCAAAACTCGTACGGCGATCCTGGGATATCCGTGCGGCAGCCTTACAATTGACCAATCATTTTAATATACATATAGGCTATATACATTAGCAATCCTTACCAGTTCTATCATTTGTCTCAGTTCATGAGAGGGTCCAAGACAACAAGATGTACATTGTACACCCATCTCCGCTCAGCCTCCGCACGGATGCCGCACGTGCTCCGTACGATGTCCGTGCAGTAGCTGCGGAGACCGCACGATCTCCGTACCCTCTCCGTAAGATCTCCGTGCGACTTCTGTGGAGTCCCCATTGCAGGTTTGCCTCTACCTGTCCCCAAGGAAATCGCACGATGCCCGTAGACAATGTGAACAGAAACGTCGTAGCCCGCGGTCACCCACGATAATCGTAGACTATTTTTATCGTACGGCGCCCGTGGCAAATGTGATCAGGTCTTAGTGTCGTTTATACGTCGCGTCGTTGTCAAGCCTGCATCGACACCAATGGTGGACACACGATACTGAATTTGTGAACTTTTGACACCACATCTCTTCAAGGGCGGGCCACGATGCCTAGTGTCAACAGTTAAACAGTGGTTAAGGAAAACACCACAAATCATGTTATTATCTTTTTGCATAAAAATGGCATTCCATCAAATAATGCACAGTTGCTTTATTCCAGTAGTATACATGGCATACCAAAATAAAGTGAGGTTCATCCTCAGGATAATTACGTTCACACAATCTATGTCTGCTTTAGGTTCTATAGCATATCTGCCAGCCTCCGTTATGAGCTGGTGTGGGCAGTATCTCTATTGGGCAATTGAAATCCTAAATTTGGAAATGAACAACTCTTTTATACGAGTTTCGAGGCCGATTTGCATGCAAACCTACTGATCAATTGAATATATTATAGCTATTGAGAGCTTTATACTAGAGCTTTATGCCAGGGCTTCAAGCCAGTGTTCAGCAGTAGGCCTATATACAGCTGTGCGACGCCGTCTGTGAATAATCGAGTGTGGACCAGACAGTCAAGTGATTGCCACAATGAGATACGATGAGAGAGAATGAATCACTATCAAATAGTGATGATACAGGGTGAGCGTATCCTGCCCCACCGGTGGCACCCTTCATAAGCATATGTAAAGGCTAGTCAACTTTTCACCTGAAGAAAAATCGTGAAAGTATGGGAATAGGGAATTGCATCGGACATAATTTTTGTCACTGTTGCATCAAATTTTGAAATGTCCTCCACATGTCTACCATAGAACCTTTTGAAAGTTTTACTGAGGCTTTGAATGTTGTAGCCTTGATCGAACAATTTCGACGTTCTTTAAAATCTTGGTAAGAAGAGCATGCTGTATACCAAGTGCTGTGTCTGTGCAAAGACGCCCATTGATGTTTGTAGTTTTCTCACACAAAAAACATTGCATATTGAGACTATTAAAAGTTATCAATATTCAAAGATTGTATAATGCCAGGTTCAATGATTGAATGAATATCGATTAAGGCTGTTACGTGCAATTTCCCAGCTATTCGCAGCGAGAACTAGCAATTACGGCCATGTATATGATCAGTCACAAAGTAAATAATGACAGTTTGGCTGTATCTTTTCATCAAGTTTAAAATTTATGAACTTGCGTAAAAAGCTATTTTAAAGCAGACACATAAAAATATGTTTGCATATCCCAATTTGATTGCCAGAATTGATTAACATATTGCCTTATAACTGGCTGACAGTCAAGGGATCTTAGTGTGCGTGTTACTGTTTCTTCTAGAGCAGTTTGTGTTTCTTTACTGTTTCCTCTTATGACAACACGACAAGAAAGCCAACTGAAGATGACAGGGTTATCTGCTTCAGCGGCATATCTAGATTCTCGAACAGAAAAGGATGGTCGCATTTTCGACCATTTATTGCCTGCATATATAACAAAATATTATATATAGTCTGTTCTCAGAATGCTTAATATACTCTCCAAAAAAAGAAACGCATATAGGAATTTCAACTGTATTTTTATGTTTATTTTGAAACATCTTGTAGGCTTTATGAATCAATCAATTATAGCGAAATTGCACACTGGGAATGCAGACTTATCTGTCTTTGGCACCAACCCGAGGAAAGTCGGTTTGAGTGTCACATGTGGTGGCGCTGAAGTCAGTACCTCGTGTGACCACCGTGGGCATCCAGAACTGCACGGCATCGCCTCGGCATTGAACGAATAAGTCTCAGAATCTCGTGTTGCCCAATCGCAGCCCACTCTGCCTGTAGTGCCTTTGCGAGTTGCTGAAGTGTCTGGGGCTGAGGGTAACGGCGTCGCACCCGTCTGTCCAGGGCATCCCGCAGATGTTCGATCGGGTTTAAGTCCGGTGACCTTGAGGGCCAGGGGAGCACATTGATGTTGTGGTTCTGGAGGAAGTCTCCAGTGTGACGTGCTGTGTGGGGCCTGGCATTGTCCTGTTGAAACAACTCCCTCTGGCGATCAATGATTGGAAGGAGGTGTGGGCGTAGGATTTCGTCACAGTACCGTTGATCTGTCAGGTTGCCCTGGATCATCACCAAATCACTTCTCCTACGGCAGGTGTCGCTCCCCACATCATAACACTGCCCCGGCCGAATCTGTCCACCTGGGGAACGCAAGCGTCGGCGAAATGTACACTTCGACGTCTGTACACCCCATTCTTCCATCGCGTCTTTCCAATAGAAATCGTGATTCATCACTGAACCAGATTCTTCGCCAATTCGGTAGGTTCCAGGCCTGAACGTTGGTGCACCATTGAACTCGATGTCGACGATGTTGTTGTCGTAGCACAGGGCCAAAATAAGGTCTTCTGGCACGTAAACCAGCCTCTCTCAACCTGTTCCTGACGGTCTGTGCAGAAAGCCTCCTCAATCCGGGTATTTGTCGAGCGGTACTGGTCGCCGTAGCTGTTCGATGACGCAGGTGATGCACCCGGATGTAGCTATCCTGCGCCGAAGTGGTCGCTCGAGGTCGCCCACTACGAGGGGCATCTGCTACCGCATTCTGCCGGCGATATCTCTCCCAGAGTCGTGAAATGGTGCTTTGGTGAACATTCATGCGTCGGGCAACTGCACGTTGAGACTGGCCAGCTTCAAGCAAACCAATGGCGATATGACGGTTGGCTTCACGTAGACGTGGCATTTTGCGTTCGTCAACAATATTCCAAATACAGTGAATAATCGACAGACAGCGATCAACCTTTTATACCCATCATTGAGACTATCTGATCCCAAACTTTCACGGGCATTGCATATGAATTGTGTATTCTGTGACACTACACGCCGAAATTGAAAATCATGCTGTTAAATACGGGTATTTACGGATGGTGCGTTTTGTTGTGATGTTTCAAAACATAAACACCATAGGACTCATAAACAGATCAAAACCTTTTGTAAAATGAATCACGTTTTAATTCATTGCTACATGAAATTGCTATTTTCATGATGCGTCTTTTTTTGAGAGTATATATTGCAAAGCTTACAGAATTGCCCTTGCTTCTCAACCTTATCACAAGCCTTCAATATAAGGAAACAACATGGTCTTATACATGACAACCTTATCACCAGCCTTCAATATAAAGGAAACAACATGGTCTTATACATGACAACCTTATCACCAGCCTTCAATATAAAGGAAACAACATGGTCTTATACATGACAACCTTATCACCAGCCTTCAATATATGATAACAACATGGTCTTATACATGACAACCTTATCACCAGCCTTCAATATAAAGGAAACAACATGGTCTTATACATGACAACCTTATCACCAGCCTTCAATATAAGGAAACAACATGGTCTTATACATGACAACCTTATCACCAGCCTTCAATATAAAGGAAACAACATGGTCTTATACATGACAACCTTATCACCAGCCTTCAATATAAGGAAACAACATGGTCTTATACATGACAACCTTATCACCAGCCTTCAATATAAGGAAACAACATGGTCTTATACATGACAACCTTATCACCAGCCTTCAATATAAGGGAAACAACATGGTCTTATACATGACAACCTTATCACAAGCCTTCAATATAAGGAAACAACATGGTCTTATACATGACAACCTTATCACCAGCCTTCAATATAAGGAAACAACATGGTCTTATACATGACAACCTTATCACCAGCCTTCAATATAAGGAAACAACATGGTCTTATACATGACAATCACTTATCACCAGCCTTCAATATAAGGAAACAACATGGTCTTATACATGACAACCTTATCACCAGCCTTCAATATAAGGAAACAACATGGTCTTATACATGACAACCTTATCACCAGCCTTCAATATAAGGAAACAACATGGTCTTATACATGACAACCTTATCACCAGCCTTCAATATAAGGAAACAACATGGTCTTATACATGACAACCTTATCACCAGCCTTCAATATAAGGAAACAACATGGTCTTATACATGACAACCTTATCACCAGCCTTCAATATAAGGGAAACAACATGGTCTTATACATGACAACCTTATCACCAGCCTTCAATATAAGGAAACAACATGGTCTTATACATGACAACCTTATCACCAGCCTTCAATATAAGGAAACAACATGGTCTTATACATGACAACCTTATCACCAGCCTTCAATATAAGGAAACAACATGGTCTTATACATGACAACCTTATCACAAGCCTTCAATATAAGGAAACAACATGGTCTTATACATGACAACCTTATCACCAGCCTTCAATATAAGGAAACAACATGGTCTTATACATGACAACCTTATCACCAGCCTTCAATATAAGGGAAACAACATGGTCTTATACATGACAACCTTATCACCAGCCTTCAATATAAGGAAACAACATGGTCTTATACATGACAACCTTATCACCAGCCTTCAATATAAGGAAACAACATGGTCTTATACATGACAACCTTATCACCAGCCTTCAATATAAAGGAAACAACATGGTCTTATACATGACAACCTTATCACCAGCCTTCAATATAAGGAAACAACATGGTCTTATACATGACAACCTTATCACCAGCCTTCAATATAAGGAAACAACATGGTCTTATACATGACAACCTTATCACCAGCCTTCAATATAAGGAAACAACATGGTCTTATACATGACAACCTTATCACCAGCCTTCAATATAAGGAAACAACATGGTCTTATACATGACAACCTTATCACCAGCCTTCAATATAAGGAAACAACATGGTCTTATACATGACAACCTTATCACCAGCCTTCAATATAAGGAAACAACATGGTCTTATACATGACAACCTTATCACCAGCCTTCAATATAAGGAAACAACATGGTCTTATACATGACAACCTTATCACCAGCCTTCAATATAAGGAAACAACATGGTCTTATACATGACAACCTTATCACCAGCCTTCAATATAAGGAAACAACATGGTCTTATACATGACAACCTTATCACCAGCCTTCAATATAAGGAAACAACATGGTCTTATACATGACAACCTTATCACCAGCCTTCAATATAAGGAAACAACATGGTCTTATACATGACAACCTTATCACCAGCCTTCAATATAAGGAAAACACATGGTCTTATACATGACAACCTTATCACCAGCCTTCAATATAAAGGAAACAACATGGTCTTATACATGACAACCTTATCACCAGCCTTCAATATATGGTCTTACAACCTTATCACCAGCCTTCAATATAAGGAAACAACATGGTCTTATACATGACAACCTTATCACCAGCCTTCAATATAAGGAAACAACATGGTCTTATACATGACAACCTTATCACCAGCCTTCAATATAAGGAAACAACATGGTCTTATACATGACAACCTTATCACCAGCCTTCAATATAAAGGAAACAACATGGTCTTATACATGACAACCTTATCACCAGCCTTCAATATAAGGAAACAACATGGTCTTATACATGACAACCTTATCACCAGCCTTCAATATAAGGAAACAACATGGTCTTATACATGACAACCTTATCACCAGCCTTCAATATAAGGAAACAACATGGTCTTATACATGACAACCTTATCACCAGCCTTCAATATAAGGAAACAACATGGTCTTATACATGACAACCTTATCACCAGCCTTCAATATAAGGAAACAACATGGTCTTATACATGACAACCTTATCACCAGCCTTCAATATAAGGGAAACAACATGGTCTTATACATGACAACCTTATCACCAGCCTTCAATATAAGGAAACAACATGGTCTTATACATGACAACCTTATCACCAGCCTTCAATATAAGGAAACAACATGGTCTTATACATGACAACCTTATCACCAGCCTTCAATATAAGGAAACAACATGGTCTTATACATGACAACCTTATCACCAGCCTTCAATATAAGGAAACAACATGGTCTTATACATGACAACCTTATCACCAGCCTTCAATATAAGGAAACAACATGGTCTTATACATGACAACCTTATCACCAGCCTTCAATATAAGGAAACAACATGGTCTTATACATGACAACCTTATCACCAGCCTTCAATATAAGGAAACAACATGGTCTTATACATGACAACCTTATCACCAGCCTTCAATATAAGGAAACAACATGGTCTTATACATGACAACCTTATCACCAGCCTTCAATATAAGGAAACAACATGGTCTTATACATGACAACCTTATCACCAGCCTTCAATATAAGGAAACAACATGGTCTTATACATGACAACCTTATCACCAGCCTTCAATATAAGGAAACAACATGGTCTTATACATGACAACCTTATCACCAGCCTTCAATATAAGGGAAACAACATGGTCTTATACATGACAACCTTATCACCAGCCTTCAATATAAGGAAACAACATGGTCTTATACATGACAACCTTATCACCAGCCTTCAATATAAGGAAACAACATGGTCTTATACATGACAACCTTATCACACAGCCTTCAATATAAGGAAACAACATGGTCTTATACATGACAACCTTATCACCAGCCTTCAATATAAGGAAACAACATGGTCTTATACATGACAACCTTATCACCAGCCTTCAATATAAGGAAACAACATGGTCTTATACATGACAACCTTATCACCAGCCTTCAATATAAGGAAACAACATGGTCTTATACATGACAACCTTATCACCAGCCTTCAATATATCACCAGCCTTCAATATAAGAAACAACATGGTCTTATACATGACAACCTTATCACCAGCCTTCAATATAAGGAAACAACATGGTCTTATACATGACAACCTTATCACCAGCCTTCAATATAAGGAAACAACATGGTGAGTTGTATAGGCCGTTGTCCATGTTGCACTTCCGTCTGTCCTCGACCGTCAGTTGATTTTGGTACACACAGATGAGCTGGCTCTCAGAGTAGTAGAGTTCTTGGTTGCAGCTGAAGGGGTACTGAGTGCCAAGGTGGCAGTACGTGAAGGCCGAGCAGTTGTAGGGATTTACGCCGGTCACACAATCTGGAAACAAACACGCATATATGTACAACACAGCGTTAAACGCAAATCCCTTAGTAACATGACCTCATTCCACCTACCTGTGTCGGTGGCGTGTCACTTAATAGCAGACCTTTTCTCACAATAGTCGCAATATCTAATCCTGCTCACGTAGCTAATATCATTAAACATATTCATTCCATTCCAATTATGTTGCCATTTGTCGTAATTGTGAGAGAGGTGATTGTGAGGTGTTTCGTGTCCGTACATTGCACTGTTATGGTTCGTGTAAAGTCACAGGAAGTCAGGTCGGATTACATATTCATGGCCAACCAGTAATGCGCTAAATGTATCAGGTGTCATCTGCGCTGACTTTTAACCTTTCAACAATTATTGGCCATAATTTATGATCTTGTAATTTAACTAATGAATGAAATAGCTGAATAGAGAATGTACGGATTGGTTTATTGTTCAACCCGTCAACATTTTACATTACCAGCTATTTGACAAAGCAGTCATGGACTTTCTCGCCCAATCGAAGTATAGAGACAGTCAAAACTTAGAATACCGTTTATCAACGAAACGGATTTACTTCGACATATTTTGAATTGTAAACAAAATCAAATTCAACATTTGTATCTTCATACAGCCTTTGGTTTCTACACAACTGCGAGCTGAATATCTAGAGCACCGCTAAACAGGTGGTACACACGTCAAGCATTACAACGACATCTGGCATGTGCTACAAAGTAATAAATATAACACGTGATATGTTTCGTTACCTGGGGTTTGGATAAAGGACTCCCGACAGTCGACTTTATCGTCGTCTTCACACCTCTGAGTGTTATCGCTGAAGAGAGTCCTCTCGGGGCACTGGAGAAGTCCGCTGTAATTCTGTCCATAACAGCTGATGAACCTCTTGCATCCCGACCCAGGGGCCACGTAGCTGAAGGTGCCATCGTAGTTATTCTGACATAGAGCCGCGTCTGAAGGACAGAGTATACACCAAGAGTCAAAACGTCAGTGCGGAAATAGTAAAGTCGATGCAAATGTAGTCATGTCCTGTGTCCATACTAACAAGCTCAACAGTCGGTATCATTTCATTCGATAATGGCAACATCGTGGCTGGTAGGTTACATGACGGTGGTGTCGACATGTGGGCCTGTCTAGAACGAGTCTGCTGCAGTCAACACGTCAGCATGTTGATGAGGCTTGTAATGGGACTGTATCGTAATCAGTCAATGACAGCACATGTAATAACAAAGTGTATCCGACATTGTGCGTTCCAACAGTTGTGACTGAGGTCAAATAATGATCGAGTCTGGGTCAGGCAACCCAATGGTTGATATTAAAGGCAACGATCCGCTCCGTCACTTCACAGTCCTCCAGAGCACTGAGACGGACCACCCTGTTCACTTAATGGCCTTCTACGAAATGCATGGGTTACTGTATGTCCGTTACCAAAATCCGTACGGCGTGAACGGTATGAGGCTCTGCGGATGTGCTCTGACAGGGCTGTTTTACATAAGATCGTACAGATTGGGCGTTCACGTGGTGAAGCTGAGCAGCTATCACATGGTAGAAGACAACAAAGGCTTGCTGTGCACTGCAGGCCTTGCCTCACTAGGAGCTGCTATCGCTGCGACTGCACTGCGATTTTCTAATTATGGCGTGATATACAAATAATTTATACGATAGTTTTCTGCTCGTTGAAGACAAGCACGCTGACTCACAGTTACATGAAATGTAGTCCCCAATAGGTACATCTCGCGTCCGGAATGAATATTGTAACAGTTCCGCCCTTGACAAGCTTCTATTACGACTCTGTACCCTTTAATGATGTGTACAACAGTCGTCGCATTGTGCCTTGGAGAAAACAATAAGCAACAATGTCATTAACTGACTAAGGGAGACCTCGCTCCGAGAAAGATCTGTCGGGTAGCCAAGTGGTTAAAGCGTTCGCTTGTCACTTGTCTCCACTTGGGTACAATGTGTCCAAGTCCACTGTCAGTGTTCTTAATGATGAAATATTTCTAAAAGCGGCGAAAAACCATATTCAATCACTCTTACCGATAGCGACATAAGATTATTATTTACTGTAAGTTTTAAGCGTTGATCTATTCTGTCAAATAGGACCGCCTTCGTAGTCCAGCGTACAGAGCATCTGCTTGGGAACGGTTAGTTGCTTTGATCCGTGGTCGCGTCATACCAAAAGAAGGCGAAAGCCTGTACTAACTGGTACCCTGCCTGCACTTGGCGACAAACTAGTCACTGGTCATAAAAGGAAAATGGGGATGAATCTGATCTTACACACGCACACGCACACGCACACGCACACCAACACACGTGCGGGTGGATCACTATCAGTGCAATTATCTCTAACTCCACGTTAATCCCAGTCGAACTCACGGCAAATTAAATATAATTTTACTTACATCCATCTTCTACCACCTGTGCGCTGGTGATTGCCAGGCATCCCAAAAGCAAGCCAAGAACTGCTGGCCCCATGCTTGCTGCGTCTGTAGTACTGGAGAGTAGCAAGGAAGAGTTGCTGGATTTACAATGGACGATTATAGGCTCATCGATTTAATATAGGACTTACCCACTTGTAAACACGCCTTATGTAAATATCTTGACTGGGACGGGCCACAATGATCACAGGGCACTCTTACAAATACGTCAGCTCCCTTCCTTAATACCTGGGTTTGTTCAATGAGTTTAATTACCACCAGAATCACGTAATACACCAACTCTGCTCCCTGGAGGAAACACATACCATTTGCATAGCATTTTGAGGACGTGTAGCGCGTGGCCCAGAATTCCATCTTGTACACAAACCTGATTAAACTGTGCAATGAAGTTCATTCGTTGCTATTTTTCAGATACGATCTCTGTTAAGTTGACATTCATTGAAGGCAATATAATAAAGGATGGTCTAATTGCTCAATGTCTAGTCAGTGATGCTTCTCCAACACACGAACACAGTTTCGCCAACCACGTGGTTTAAAGTCATCACAGCTCGCAATTTGCCCAGCCAGATAAAAACATAGAAAAATACATGGATAACCGTTGTAACTGCTGACTTTATCAGCGCTAGAAAAGGAAGAGGCGTTTACCTTAAATGTTGTGTTTGCCATGTGAGGGTGTTTACAAATCCCCGGATGTTTACAAAATATATACCTGACTTATTCGCGCAACGTGCAACAGGTGTAAACATAGCTTTCCAGCTCTCCGTTAATGAGCATGTCCTGTGGTGCCGGTTGACCATTTCACTCTCCCTTAATGAGCATATCAAGTGGTGCCGGTTGACCATCTCACTCTCCCTTAATGAGCATATCAAGTGGTGCCGGTTGACCATCTGACTCTCCCTTAATGAGCATATCAAGTGGTGCCGGTTGACCATCTGACTCTCCCTTAATGAGCATATCAAGTGGTGCCGGTTGACCATCTGACTCTCCCTTAATGAGCATGTCATGTGGTGCTGATTGACCATCTGACTCTCCCTTATGTCACTTAATGAGCATGTTATGTAGTGCTGGTTGAAAATCTGACTCTCCCTTAATGAGCATGTCATGTGGTGCCGTTTGACCATCTGACTCTCCCTTAATGAGCATGTCATGTGGTGCCGATTGACCATCTGACTCTCCCTTATGTCACTTACTGAGCACGTGAAGTGGTGCTGGTTGAAAATCTGACTCTCCTTTAATGAGCACGTGAAGTGGTGGTGTTTAACCATCTGACTCTCCCTTAATGAGCACGTCATATGGTGCTGGTTGACCTTCTGACTCTCCTATTAAGAAAATCGTTTTGAATGACAAATATATGTTTGAACAATTTTAAATATGTTTTGATTTATGTGAACAGTCAGATCTGCATTGCCATGTTATAGTAACTCATAGTTTATATTCACATCGGTAACACTGCGTAAATTAGCCATCATGGTAGTTCTCTGTACCATATATAATTGACAGTCAAATAGGTAATGATAAGAATTTTCACAAACATTTCCACAAGAACAACTTGGGTTATCTCTTAAACCAGCACGGAATAGATCATAATTCAATTGCCTACACATGTAACGTAGTTTTGTAAGGATGATGTTAGTGATTCTCGGTCCAAAATCAAAGTATTGAGGAGCAGTTGTATGTTTTTTAACAATATTAGATTTAAAAGAATTCAATGACACGCTTTTTCTCACTTCAACTGGAAGTTCATTCCACATTCTAATTGTGGATGGAAAATACGAATCATACGAAAATTTTAATCGTGAGAAACGAAGTGAGACATCATCAGAGTTACGAAGATTACAGTTACATTTAGATGCTACGTTCCCAGGAACAAGATCAATAAGGTACGATGGTGCCATATTATTCTGTATTTTGTAAAAAATACAAACTTGACGCTTTCTCCTACGTTCTGCTAAAGATTCCCAACCAGTTTCATAATACAGATATTCATGATGAGTATATTAAGGTAAACCTGTTACAATTCTTGCTGTTTCTAATTGCAGTTGCTCTAATTTATTTGCTTGATATTGAGGACATCCATTCCATACTTCACACGCATATTCGAAATGGGGTCTTATGAACATTCCATAAATTCTATTCAATACAGAGCGCGGTAATAAAAAATTGAATTTACGTAGAGAAGATATCATTTTGGAAGTTATTTTTACAATATTATCAAGATGGTCAGACCATGTACAATCTTTTGAAAATGTTAATCCCAAATGTTTATGATCATTAACTGTTTTGACACGCACCCCGTTAAAGTAGAGATTTAGTTCATCAACATTCTTTTGCAAGGAGAAAATAATTGCCTCAGTTTTATCAGGATTATATGTTATAAGCCACTGCTTTGCCCAAGACCGCAGCCTTTCCAAGTTTGAATTCAAATCTCTTTCAATGAATAGACGATCATGAGAAGATAAGCAAAGAGACGAATCATCAACAAATAATCTTGTCAAGCAGTTTAAATCATCAGCAATATCTTTGACATAAACAAGAACTAAGAAAGGACCGAAGACTGACCCTTGAGGGACACCAGCTTGTAAATACCCCCGGCTTGGATAGGGCTCCCTTTACAAAGACGCTTTGTGAACGATTACTTATGTAATCAGCTAGCCAATTTAACAATGAATCCTGAATTCCGTATGTTTCTAATTTCAACAATAAAGCTTTATGCCACACACAGTTGTGCCGGTTGACCATCGGACTCTCCCTTAATGAGCACGTCATGTGGTGTTAGTTGACCATCTGACTCTCCCTTAATTAGCATGTCTTGTGGTGTTAGTTGACCATCTGACTCTCCCTTAATGAGCATGTCAAGTGGTGCCGGTTGACCATCTGACTCTCCCTTAATGAGCATGTCAAGTGGTGCCGGTTGACCATCTGACTCTCCCTTAATTAGTAAGCACGACTTGTGGTGTTAGTTGACCATCGGACTCTCCCTTAATGAGCATGTCAAGATCTGACTCTCCCTTAATGAGCATATCAAGTGGTGCCGGTTGACCATCTGACTCTCCTTAATGCAAGCACGTCATGTGGTGCCGGTTGACCATCGGACTCTCCCCTAATGAGCACGTCAAGTGGTGTCGGTTGACCATCGGACTCTCCCTTAATGAGCATGTCAAGTGGTGCCGGTTGACCATCTGACTCTCCCTTAATGAGCATGTCAAGTGGTGCCGGTTGACCATCTGACTCTCCCTTAATTAGCAAGCACGTCTTGTGGTGTTAGTTGACCATCGGACTCTCCCTTAATGAGCACGTCAAGTGGTGCCGGTTGACCATCGGACTCTCCCTTAATGAGCATATCAAGTGGTGCCGCTTGACCATCTGACTCTCCCTTAATGAGCACGTCATGTGGTGCCGGTTGACCATCTGACTCTCCCTTAATTAGCAAGCACGTCATGTGGTGTTAGATGACCATCGGACTCTCCCTTAATGAGCACGTCAAGTGGTGCCGGTTGACCATCGGACTCTCCCTTAATGAGCACGTCAAGTGGTGCCGGTTGACCATCTGACTCTCCCTTAATGAGCATATCAAGTGGTGCCGGTTGACCATCGGACTCTCCCTTAATGAGCATATCAAGTGGTGCCGGTTGACCATCTGACTCTTCCTTAATGAGCACGTCATGTGGTGTTAGTTGACCATCTGACTCTCCCTTAATTAGCAAGCACGTCATGTGGTGTTAGATGACCATCGGACTCTCCCTTAATGAGCATGTCAAGTGGTGCCGGTTGACCATCTGACTCTCCCTTAATGAGCATGTCAAGTGGTGCCGGTTGACCATCTGACTCTCCCTTAATTAGCACGTCATGTGGTGCCGGTTGACCATCGGACTCTCCCTTAATGAGCATGTCAAGTGGTGCCGGTTGACCATCTGACTCTCCCTTAATGAGCATGTCAAGTGGTGCCGGTTGACCATCTGACTCTCCCTTAATTAGCAAGCACGTCTTGTGGTGTTAGTTGACCATCGGACTCTCCCTTAATGAGCACGTCAAGTGGTGCCGGTTGACCATCGGACTCTCCCTTAATGAGCATATCAAGTGGTGCCGCTTGACCATCTGACTCTCCCTTAATGAGCACGTCAAGTGGTGCCGGTTGACCATCTGACTCTCCCTTAATTAGCAAGCACGTCATGTGGTGTTAGTTGACCATCGGACTCTCCCTTAATGAGCACGTCAAGTGGTGCCGGTTGACCATCTGACTCTCCCTTAATGAGCACGTCAAGTGGTGCCGGTTGACCATCTGACTCTCCCTTAATGAGCATATCAAGTGGTGCCGGTTGACCATCGGACTCTCCCTTAATGAGCATATCAAGTGGTGCCGGTTGACCATCTGACTCTCCCTTAATGAGCACGTCATGTGGTGTTAGTTGACCATCTGACTCTCCTTAATTAGCAAGCACGTCATGTGGTGTTAGTTGACCATCGGACTCTCCCTTAATGAGCACGTCAAGTGGTGCCGGTTGACCATCGGACTCTCCCTTAATGAGCATATCAAGTGGTGCCGGTTGACCATCTGACTCTCCCTTAATGAGCATATCAAGTGGTGCCGGTTGACCATCTGACTCTCCCTTAATTAGCACGCCTAGTGGTGTTAGTTGACCATCGGACTCTCCCTTAATGAGCACGTCAAGTGGCGCCGGTTGACCATCGGACTCTCCCTTAATGAGCATGTCAAATGGTGCCGGTTGACCATCTGACTCTCCCTTAATGAGCATGTCAAGTGGTGCCGGTTGACCATCTGACTCTCCCTTAATTAGCAAGCACGTCTTGTGGTGTTAGTTGACCATCGGACTCTCCCTTAATGAGCACGTCAAGTGGTGCCGGTTGACCATCGGACTCTCCCTTAATGAGCATATCAAGTGGTGCCGCTTGACCATCTGACTCTCCCTTAATGAGCACGTCAAGTGGTGCCGTGTTGACCATCTGACTCTCCCTTAATTAGCAAGCACGTCATGTGGTGTTAGATGACCATCGGACTCTCCCTTAATGAGCACGTCAAGTGGTGCCGGTTGACCATCGGACTCTCCCTTAATGAGCATATCAAGTGGTGCCGGTTGACCATCTGACTCTCCCT